CTGTTTTTACCTTTTCTGGGTTAGCCTTTATCCCTCTGCTATTAACTATGAAGCCCAAAAATTTTTCTGCTGACACCCCAAAGGCACACTTAGCTGGGTTGAGCTTTATCTTGTATTCTCTCAGGACTTGAAACGACTCTACTAGGTGCCCAATGTGGAGTTCTGCCTTCAGTGACTTGACAAGCATGTCATCAATATAGACCTCCATGGAGGTCCCAATCTGTTTTCAAAACATCTTATTCACCAGGCGCTAGTAAGTGGCTCTTGTATTTTTTAACTCGAAAGGCATCACCTGATAGCAGTATGTCCCTTGCTCAGTTATGAATGAGGTATTCTCTTGGTCACTGGGATCCATCCTAATCTGATTGTACCCAGAGAAGGCATCCATGAAGCTGAGGAGCTCATGTCCCGCAGTGGCATCTACAATCAAATCTATTTGGGGTAAAGTAAAACTATCTATTGGGCAAGCATAGTTGAGATCTGTAAAGTCAATGTAAAGACGTCATTTGCCATTTGTCTTCTTGACTAGGACTACATTGGCTAGCTAGACTGGGTAATCCACTTCTCGAATGACTTTCGCGTGAAGGAGCTTGCTGACCTCTTCGTTGATGGCTTTCTGACGATCCGGGGCGAAGCTCCTCCTCTTATGCTTAATGGGCTTACAGGTTGGATTCACGCTGAGCTTGTGAGTGATGACAAAGGGATCAATCTCTTTCATGTCCTCTTACTTCCATGCAAAAACTTTCTTGTTCCCTTTCAGGAATAGGATGAGGAGATCCTTGATTTCCTTGCTCAGCTTGGATCCAACGTAAACAAGATGCTCTGGCTCCTTATCCATTTGAACAGGTTCCAGCTCTTCTGATGGTGTTGGCCTGGTCTTGAGTTCATCCCTCATGTTAAGCTCATCCAATTGGATGCTCTCAACCTCCTTACTTTTCATGGATGCCATGTAGCATTCTCATGCTACGCGCTGGTCTCCTTGGACCACTCCAACTCCGTTTTCTATTGAAAACTTCATTACAAGGTGATAGGCAGAGGGAATAGCCCTTATAGAATTGAGCGAGGGCCTTCCAAGGAGCATATTGTATGCTGAAGGTGCATCAACATCTAGCAATTTCACTGTTGTTGTAGTTTGAAAAGGTGGGTCACCTAAGGTCAAGATGAGTTGGATTGACCCCAGGGGTAGCACCCTTTATCCTGAGAATCCCAATAGGTGGGCACTTACTGGTTCAAGCTTTTCCCTTCCTATATCCATTTTGTCAAAAGCAGAAGTAAAAATGATGTCTGTCGAGCTGTCATTGTCAATCAAAACACGGTGGACAGTTCTGTTGGCTACCACAACTCTTACCACCAAAGGGTCATCATGGGGATGTTGGCAGCCCTCCAGATCTGCATCTGAGAAAGTGGTAGTCGTGTCTAAGTGTGGAGACTTGGACACGATATATACTTCGGGAGCTTCTATGGCTCTGATTTTACGCAAGTGGGCCTTTCTAGCAAAGCTGGACCCTCCTCCTCCGGCAAATCCTCATGATATCATTCTGATATCCCTTATAGGTTGCTGGTGTGGCTCTGGTGCTTGATGCTAAGGAGGTGGAGGTGGGAGAGCTCGGTTTTGATTATCATTGGCCACATAACGTCTCAACTGCCCTCGCTGGATTAGAAATGCTATTTCTTTCTTCAATTGGATACAGTCGTCGGTATGGTGACCATGGTCTTTGTGGAAGTCACAATACTTTGTAGGATCCCTTTTTACCGGGTTTGCTTTCATCCGGGGTTGCCATATCATTTTGCACCTCATACAGTATCTGAGATACCGTAGCAGTCAGAGGGGTGAGCTGCCGAGGTGCATACCTTGGTTGTAGCTTTGGTTGTGGAGGGCCGAGGCCATCCTTGACATTTCCTCTTCTATTCGGGGAACGCTCTCTGTCTCTTCTTGGAGACCTACCTCGCTCTCTTTCCTTTTTGGGACTTCGTTCTCTTTTCTTTTCTTCACTCCCTTTCTCCTTTCTTGACGAAGAGCTCCCGACCTTGGAGAGGTGCGCTTCCTCACCATTTATGTACTTTTCTGCTTTGGCAAGCACCTCCGCCATACTAGTCTGGAGGTTCTTTGAGATGGAAAACATCAAATCTTTCGACTGAACTCCCAGACCTGTTATTATGGCTGTAATAACAAATTTTTCGTTTAGGACATCCACCTTCAAGGATTCTGAGTTGAACTGTTGGACATAAGACCGTAGGTTCTCATCAGGTCCCTATTTCACATTTAACAAATGGTAGCTCGATTTCCTATAGGTCCAAGCTCCGATAAAGTGGGACACAAACGAGATTGACAACTCTTTAAAAGAGGAAATCGAGGCTGGGGGGAGTCTGTTGAACCATGCTAAGGCTGAGCCCTTCAGGGTGATAGCAAAGGCCCTGCATTTCACTGGATCTTGATATCCATACAACTCTATTTGATTTTTGTAAGTGTTAAGGTGGTCCATGGGATCTTTTGTCCTATCGAAAGCATCCATCTGCGGTATTCTGAACTTAGGTGGGAACGGGAAGTGCAGCACCCCAGTAGTGAATGGGGACTCGGTTTGCTACACTAAGGCATCCATAGTGACTAGGACCTTGCTCTTTACTGCTGCCTTCATCTAGCTGAGCTCTTGCTGGATGTCTTTGAAACGTTGCTCCCAGTGGTGCTATCTTCTCTCCTGTTGATAAGGGAAGAAGTCGCTCCTCTCCCTTCCTTATACTGACTTTGCACTTCCTCGTTGTGATCATTCCTATGGGGTTGGCAAGGTTCTTGCCCCAAGGTCTGGCTATTCTCTCCCACCTCATTAACTTCTCTGAGGGGGTCGAGATGCGGTTGCTCCCTTGGTGGTGGGTTATTCTGGCCTCCTTGGGCCGGTTGCGCCTCCTGTGGGCATTGTAGGAGCTTTAAGAGCTCTTCGTTCTGTTTTATCAGGTGTTCATTGACAAGACGAAGGGCTTGCATCTCATTATTCATGGGAAAGCCCCCCATGGGGGGATCTATTTCTTGTGCGTTTTTGGGTTGTCTGCTATTTGCGGCTTCCTGTCGATCTTGCATCCGTAGAGGGTTGGTATGACTTCGGCTCATGTTTCGCGTTGATACTATCAGTCACTGAGAAATCAGCTTTATTTGTAACATGAACAGTCTTTTTCACATACAGCGCCAAACTGATGGTGTATTTCAATGTGAAGCCATTTTTGTGATGACGAGTAAATGAAAGAAACAATATTGAAATTATTGGGATCTGAGCTATTAGACTCGAGGAAATTGTTGGGGAGTTGAGGAATTAACACAGTAAAAATATAGTAGTTCGCCTGCTTAGGAGCTTGGCTAGTCCACTCTGAAATGGAGGCTCTTACTCATTTTCTTTCAATAATCGTCATTACAAGGTTACAATGGCTCCTTTTTGTTTCTAGGGTCCCTCCCCCTGTTAGGAGGTGTTACATTGCATTTATAGGGCCATTCCCTGCTAAGTGGGATCCTAATCGAAATTCTTGCCCTTACTTCACGGGGTTTTCCCTAATTTTTAGGGAAAGATCTTGGTTGGATGAGATTAGGTGTCTTGATTATAGCTTACTAACGCTTTAGGAACCTCTCGTGATTATCCAGCTGTTGCTTTGGTTGTCATTGTCTTCGCTTATCTCGAGGGTACCTCCAGCTCTACTCTTCCGAGTTCTGCTTGCCTAGTCTGACCTCCTGAGCAGGCACTTTTTGCTTGCCTAGTCTAACCTCTTGGGCTGATCTGATCTCCTGAGTTGGCACTTGAGATTTATTTTGAGGTATCATCATATATATATAAACATACATTAAATTAAAAAAATTAAAAATTTAAATTAAAAAAATATTTTTTTCATCTTAACTAGGAGTGAAAATTTTTGACTCAATACGATGACACGACTTGAATTCGACACGAATTTTATGATACGAACTTGAAAATAACCTGACATGCGAACAAGAAATATAAAAGACTCATAGTTTTATGACTCAACACGAATCTGATATGACACGATTCGATTGTCATCCATAATCTCAGCTAACACAAAAAAAAAATTAGTCATTTTGATTTTTCATCCATCCAGTCAAATACAAAAGAAGGAAAGTGTATGATTCCTACTTTTCATCATTGAAGTCCATCCATCCTATTTTTTATCCTTCCTATCAAACGGAGCATTATGGTCACATCTTGTTTTTGTAAGATTATACATCTAATCGTTCTCATTTACCTTTTTCAACTTGTAAAAAAAAATAATAATCAAAAAGAGTATTGATTTCATGGTTAACCAAAATTTTGTCAAAGCTTTTTTTCTTTAGCCAAACTCTTTGTTAGATGACGCGAAGGTATGCCCCAAGGGCCTATTTGGTATATTTTTTTTTTGAGGAGTTTGAATTGATTTGTCCAAACTTGAATTTGACCCAAAAATGAGATTTAACATTCAATATTTTTCATACCCATGTTTGGTATGCACAATAATATATGATTATTATGATAATATATTTATATTTAAATGACTATTGTACCCTTTAATCAATTTGTATATATGAAATATAAGATATATGGATGTATAAATATTATTTGTATGATAAATTCATTAACCCACATATGAACTCACCCGCTTTACCCGTTAATCAATTTGTATATATGAAATATAAGATATATGGAGGTATAAATATTATTTGTATGATAAATTCATTAACCCACATATGAATTCAACCGCCTTGGGTTATGACCGAGCCGAATTTCAAATCTTAAATTAAATACATAGTTGTAAAATATGGGTTTAAGGGAGTTTAATCCCCAACCCAGGATCCACAATCCCCACAAACTCACGTACCAAACATGCCCCAAAAGCAACAGCTTTAAGTTACGGGAGAAGATGTCATACTGTTGGACAGAGCCTCAGATTTTCGTTTTAAGTCGCATATGAAAGATTGTATTTCTGAGTTTACAGTAATCAAAAAGTCACATACAATCACGACTTATTCTCTACCAAAAATCAGTACATGAACATTTTCCAGCAATGAAAGTATGAAAACGAGAGCGATCTCTCACCACAATCTCTCTCTCAAAAACCTGGGATATAGCCTTCATAGCAGAGTGACAATCTTCACATATTCGTAGATTCTTGAATACTCGAATGGGAGTACCCTCCACTGTACTCATTAACCCAAAAGCAACAGCCAGCTTTTCACTATGCCAAGATATTGCTTGTTCTTTCTCTTCCTCACTCAAGTCAAACAGAACTTGATTTGTGATGGGAAGGTAACCACCCTCTAAACTTATTCTCTTCATAACCTCGTTTAACTTATTGTTTATCTCCAAAATCTTAGGATGCAACCGATCTGCGGCAAGAAATTCATGAACTGCACCATCAATCTCAATATAACTGCAACCAGGGCTTGATTTGATCTCTTTCTGACTCATGGCTTTCCTCACTTTGATTACACTGTCCCACTGGCCCATAGACGCATACAAATTGGAAAGAAGTACATACCCTCCGCCATGAGAACCAGGATTTAGCTGAGCAATGTACTTTATAATTCTTTCCCCAAGTCCTACATTACCATGAACTCTACAAGCACTAAGCAAGGCTCTCCAAATAACAATATCAGGTTCCATGGGCATGCTCTTGACCGCTTCAAAGGCACTTTCAAGCCGGCCGGCACGACTAAGAAGGTCTATTAAACAACCATAATGCTCAAGCTTGGGCACAATCCCCCACAAACGCTCCAGATCATAAAAAATTGAAAGACCCTCCTCAACTCGGCCTGAATGACTGCATGCATTTAGCACACCAAGAATAGTAATGTTATCTGGTTTAACTCCTTCCCCTAGCATATCCGAGAATACTTCAAGAGCTTCCTTACCAAGCCCATGCATGGATAATCCCGATATCATGCTCGTCCATGTGTGGAGATCCCTTTTACCAATCCCATCGAAAACTTGTTTTGCACAATCTATCCTCCCACATTTTGCATACATATCAATTAAAGCAGTTGAAATATTGGGGCTTTCTAGAGTCCCGGTCTTGTCCATAAAAACATGTATCCATTTCCCTTGATCCAGTGCCCCAAGATGAGCACAAGCTGATAGTACACTTACAAAAACTGCCTCATTAGGCCTAACCTTATCATCACCCAACATGTCATTGAAACATGTAAGCGCATTGCTATACAATTCACGCACAACATAACCCGCCACCATTACCGCCCACGAGACATCATTCTTTTCCGGCATCTTTAAGAACAATTCTTCGGCTTTTACTATATCCCCACACATAGTATACCCTCTAACTAAACTAGTCCAAGTTATTATATCTCTATAGGGCATTTCATCAAACACCCTCTGACCATTAACCATTCTTGACAAACTTGCATACAAATTAACCAATGAATTTCCCACAAATAAATTTGAATCATACCCATTTTTAAGCACCATTGCATGAACATTTTGGCCATAACCGAAGAACGTAGATTCGCACGAACAAGCTGTGATGACAAAATTGAAGGTATATTTGTCTGGATTGGCAAAAGTGGACCCATCAAGAAAAAGCATTTGTTGGAAGAGATATAGAGATTCTTGTGAGGTGGGTGTCTTGGAATAGGCTTGTATCATAAGGTTCCACAGAAATGTGGGTGCTTTAGATGAGTAATGCTCAAATACAGTTCGTGCAAAATAGAGGTTTTTACAGTTAGTGTAGGCCTGTATTAGATTTCCAATAACAAAGGTGTTTTGAGCTAAGGCTTGAGTGATGATTTGGGCATGTATTTGTTTAGTTTGGGTCAGTGATGGCTTGTGTTTTAGTAGTTCAGAGAGTGTTGATTGGTTAGTGTGTGAAAATGGGGATTCTTTGGATAGTTCGTGGGTGATCGAGAATGGGGATTCTTTGGATAGTTCGTGGGTGATCGAGAAGGTGTTTGATGAAATGAAAAAGAGAGGTGTTTGAAGAGGTTTTGGTAGGGCAAGGCTTTTGATGGTGAACGGTAAAAGGGGTTTGGAACGTAAGACAAAGTGCATCTATGGTTAATGTAGTAGTTGATCTCCTAACAAAGCATATTGTATCCAATACGAGCTTTGATGAATGCAATATGTGAACTTATAGTGAACTGTGAGAAAGTGCAAGTTTCATGTTCATGGATGCCCTGACCTAAGTGGTCTATGGTCCAAAAAATTGATTTGGGAGCGAAGCAATGAATATGTTCAACAGCATTAATACAAGTACAGATGTACATTAGTCCATTAGGCCGCCTCACACGCATAGTATACATTTGTTTATCATATATTTTGATACTGTTTATTCACGACGATTTCTCATATTTAATGGATCTTTAATCACGCATATTGCAAACCTGGTATTGGTCATGGCCTATAGTTGCATATCCCATGATGAAATATATGTTCGATTCTATCACTAGCAATAAAATAGCAAGATTTGGATAGTATTTTCTTGTCTTATCAAGTAAATAACTGAATTACAAAGATAAACCACCATCAACACTCGCCAAATGAATTCAACGTCAGTGGGTCATAGCTTTCAAGGTGAGATAAAACGAAAATGTTGAGCATAGTAATGTTTGTTCCAACAAAAAACACAATAGAGATGGCAAAATGTACGAAACAACTGACTATTAAGGAACAGAGACCCCATACCATACAAATAACCAATATCAAGCTTCAAATAAGCACCAGAACAAGAATTTTGCGCTTACATGGTTTATTGAAAAGACGATTGTTGTTATTCATATAAATCACACGGGGGGATTAGCGGAAAACTGATAATCCTCTACTCAAAATTCTTGTCTCAACAACAAATATATAGAGGCAACTAAGTCTCTCTCCTTTTATACTCTTAACCGTCGCATCTGACTCTCTCTTCAGAAATTTTCGATGTGATAGAAGATCAACACATTAGGATGAAGCTTCTTCGGCAAAACTCAGGCTGCTGTGTTCTCAGTCACCACTTCAACTTGCTCGTGCTTGACCAGTTGGCTAAAGTTTCCCTTTTGCTTGAACAGCTGGGAGTGATGATGCCTACAGTAGAGTCGATGCTCATGGGCTACATAGTTTGATGGGCTGATCACACAGCCTCCGTGGGCACACTTGAAACAAGCCCTATGGTATGAAGTGCCATCAACCGCCACCTGCAACATCAGCAAGGAGCCATATATACATGTATCATATTCAAGTAGTTAGATCAGCTTTGTTCCTTCAGTTTTGATTTCATATGGAATTGCTATCAATTACCTTTTCAAGCGGATACACAGTTTTTTGCAAGCAACGCACTTATCTTGGGTTCCAGCAAACATACTTGAAACTTTGCTGCTGGTATGGCCCTGAGCAATTCCCTCACAATAAGAAACAAATTTATTGTAAACACTCAACTGAAAAATTATATAAAATTTGAAACCTGTCACAAAAATTTGTCAGAAAGAGATGACACACTAAGCACTGCAATACCTGGTCAGCAGATCTGTCAACTCTAACAGTTTTTGGCGCACCTATAATACATAAATGGGCTTATAAGAGCACGTTAGAGGAAGCAAAAATGCAACAAAACGACTAAAAAATGAAGACCACCTTCAAAACTCTTATCCAAGCTACCAGTCATCTTAAACAGTTGATCGAAGTGAGGCTTGCAATATAATACTCCCTCAAAAGAGCTATAATTACTCAGCTGCAAAGAAGATAAATACATAAATTCAGTGATATACTGATCTCCAAGTCATATCTTTTATGATACTGCAAGGGAACACACTAAGTGCCCCTGCTTCATAGTACCAGGGAAAGATGCTTTTAAGCAGAACCTTGGCTAACATAAACGGTCTTTCTGCTACCAAAAAACACACACATAAATCACTGAAAATAAAAGCATGGTAGACCTCATCAGGTTTTGCATTCTAGAAACACTAGAAGCCTTTGTGAACAATCCAAAAACCACATCCACACAAATATATAATCATAGACTGGTGCATTTGCCCAAAGTTTGAATTCATTACACATCATGGCCTGATAGGGAATTCCTATCTGTTAATCTCCTATGAAAAATCAGCTAGTGGTTCACTGATGGCGGCTAATCGAATAAATCTCTGGCTTATGTTAAAGAAATGGAAAAGAAATATGTCATACGATCCACATTAACAGGTGCACTGATTCAATAGCTTTGACTGAGTCTACAACAAAATGACTCCCTATTTACCTCACACAAGCTTACATAGAAACACCAAAATGACTTGATTAACCTGATAAAGGTGAGTGACATTCAACAATCTCTCTGTTCCAATTGTTCTTGTTAATTGCTTCAGCTTTTTAGCAAAGCTGCGACTATTTGTATAGACATTTCAAGAAGCCAGACATACGGGATAATGTAGCTGATTAGCAGAGAACTATAGTCACATTTATAGTACAAGCTAACAAAGATGCTGCATCTCCCCTAAAAATATCGCTATATCAAATCCAGGCTCACAGGAACTGGCAATAATTTTGGTAAGACTTGCACCTAACCATTTTAAGTTCATGTCTGAGTCGGTCAAAACATTTGTAGAAGATATACATTCAACAAAATAACAAATCTAAATCACAATGGCAATGGCAACTGCTTATATCAGACTTCTTCTCTTTTTTCAAGCCACCACGACACTACATACCAAATAACATGTCACAAAATTCACTGGGTTTTGGGAAAGAATTGTACAGCATTACAATAATTGTATCGTATTACTAATAATTGACAGAAATGATATCCTTTTGGATCCAAAAAAACCATCTAAATCCACCACCAAAATGAAGAATATCACTCAACAAATCACAAGTCATGGACCGTCAATTTTCTTAAAAGTTAAGTCAGATAAGCAAATCCGACAATTAGATACTTGAACAATCACAAGTCATGGACCAGAAACTCATTTTTCACGTACGGGTCATCTTGATTAGAAAGTATCATCTTCATATGTATGACAATCCTGATTACCAAACACAAGAATCTAACATTTACAGACCCTTAATAGAGACAATTAACCAAAAAGCTCCAAACAAACTGATCATAGTCAACTTCAAATTAAATCGATATCAGGAAAAAAAAATTGATCTTTTGACAAGTAATCATATCAAAAGAACAACACTTAATATACCTAAGAGTATAATTCTGACAAATAGATGCACCCCTTAATATGCACACATATTGAACACAGAAATGACATGCAGAAGAGTATGACAGATGAAATCACCTTGAGGGTGCCTTTGCAGTGATGACATCTGAAACAAGCCTTGTGATAGACTTTATTATCAGCTGTGAGCTCATCCACCAAGTACACAGTCTTCTCACATGCCTTACACTTCTGGGTAGTTCCTCCAAACGTTGCCATATCTCCAAATCTTCAACCTCCACAGGATCAGACTCTACACCTTGAAACAATGATTGAAGAAAACTGATGAACCTTCTTGCTGATGAGAAGACTCTCTCTCTCTCTCTCTCTCTCTCTCTCTCTCTCTCTCTCTCTCTCTACAAGTCTTCTGTGAGTTTTACAGCTCACAGAGGCAGAGAAGTAGTGCAGGCGTTACCCTCGCTGTCCACATTGAAGGGCATTTTAGTAAACTACTCTCCAGATGGTCAGATTCGAACATTTCAGCGGTGCTCAGTGGGAGTTCAAAGGTTTTATCCCACTCTCTCCCCTTAAGAGCGTGTGAAACAAACTAAGCTAGAGATAGTGTAAAAAATGAATAATCGGATTTTGATACTGTAAATTTATTTTGCTAGTATTTATAAGAAAAAAAATTATTAATAATTTATTCTTTTTTATTCGTGGAACTAATATTATTTAAATTATCATTGAATAAAACAGCTTTTGGGCTTAATTTGTTAGGATATCAATTGGGTATATTTTTAATTTGTGAAACTCGTGCCTATATAGTAGCTAACTTTTTTTAGTCAATATTACTATAATGTAATAAATAAAATAGAAATAATTGTAAATAGGACTATGGAAGACAAGTTCAACAAAAAAAACCAAAAAGAGTGATTAATTTCGAGAGTAATTCAAGTCCTAACAATAATGAATTATAAACTCAGATGATTTTAGGCCTTCAAACATAGATTAAACTCAAATTGTAAGAGATTTATCCTTCATAAATATTTTATTCTAGACATGAATGACTTTTCTTTAAATAAAGTTAAAAAAAATAATTAAAATATATATAAATTGATCCGAATACTTTAACTAAAAAAAATACTCCTTATGAATGAGGTGGGATAGGAGGGTCCAAACTAGGCCATTGAGTGGATCCCACCAACGCACTTATAAAGCGAGTGTGGTGTTATTGTAAGTATATTTTTTTTTGTACCGTAAATATTTTTGGGTGTGAAAAAAAGTTATTCTTTAGTAAAAAAAATAACTGGCTTTCCGTCATTGATTTAGAAAGTTATATTCTCACTAATGATGTTATTTGAATTGTTTGGCCATTTTTCAAAATTGAGAGAGAGAGAGAGAGAGAGAGAGGTGCATGCACATGTACAACTCATACTCAACTCAATCATGCTATTCAAAATTTTTATTTAAAAAAAACACTTGTAGCTGCTTTGCTTTTTTGTTTTATATTTATCTAGAAAAGTAGTTTGGGGGTTGGCTTACATATATGTCTTGTGGTGTGATGATAAGCTCACTTGAAATCTTTTTCTTCCCCTCCCCCCCCCCCCCCCCACCCACCAGAATTCAGGGTAGTGAAAATTTGATCGATTTAAATTTAGATTCAATTAGCCAAATACAAGTTATTATTTTACTATCCATTTGTATCATATTTTATGCGACCACACTTTTATCAGCATCACGCTTTCACCATCATCACACTTCCACCACCTCCAACACTACCACACTTTTACCACCTTCACACTTCCACCACCTCCAATACTACCATACTTTTATCACCACCGCTACCATCACTATCACCTCCACACTCCCAACTCCTCCACCACCACGTCTATTATATTTACATTTTCATTATTTTTTAGGTTATTATTTAAATAAGTTTTAATATTTTTTATTTTGTAGAACTGTTTTTTGAATCATATAACTAAACAAATTCTGTAATACAAAAAATAATTTTATAAAATTTTTCTTAAAAATAATTTTTGAATACTATATTTTGAGATACAAACCAAGCGCGACCTTACTTTTTATTCAAAATTGGGAGTAAAATTGTTTTTTACTTTCATCCCTCATGCTCCATATGTGCGATTAAAGATGACAGTGGACTGAAGCGGGGGCGGAGAGTGTAGTCTCCATTCTTGTACCTACTTAAAAAAATTTCGTTCATCTCAAGTCTCTACCCCCCATTAATGGATATAGTTTTCATCCTCATCCTCGTCCGCCAGTAAATTTATAATTCTCGCCCCCGCCCTTGTCCACCTTACCCACCCCACCTGAAGCCCAAGCCTAAGCCATTATAATTCAAAATTTTAAATTAATTTAACATTTTAAATAATTCAACATAATTATAGAACATCATTGCATAATTAAAAGCTTACCATCTACAGCATAATCTAACATAATATAATTAAAAGTATGTCTCTCATGTAAATATAACACAATATCATGCAATTCAACATAATATAACATAACATAATCTAACATAAAAAAAATACAAAAATAAAAAGATCTACATTTTTACAAGCCCAAAATATGAAGAAAAAAAAAGTCAAAAAACAAAATAATTTTCAAAAGAAAAATCATTCAATAATATATAAATTTGTATTTACAACAACATGTGTGTATATATATATATATAGTAATCCTATTGGAACCTAATTTGTTGACCTAATTCACTATGATCTTTAAATTGAGTATAAATTCATTAAATATTGAAACTTGGTGTTGATCTAATGGTTTCACCAAAGTCACATCATTATGTCAACAAATTAGGTCAAATTTTTAAGTCAAAATAGTATTACTCATATATAAAATAATAATAATAATAACAACGGGTAAAGTAGGGCGGAGGTAAGTGTTAGTCTATTTCCGCCTTCATTTTCGTACGAGTTTATATGGGTATTCTCGTATACGTCTACCGTTCAATATGTGTGGTCCATTATCGATCCAAACAGAATAAATTTAGAAGAACACTCATTTTTATCCGATCTACTGTCATCCCTAAGTGCAACTCTTATGTTATGGCTTGTCTTTTTATATTAGTCTTCGTTATTAATTGTCACCAAAATGTTTGGGGCACATGTCACGATTGGAAAAGATCTACCAGCATTAATAGGGTACAAAAAAGTTCAAATTTCAAATTTTGAACTGAGGGTGAAGTTGAATGACAGTATTTTGTAAACAAAATTATCCTCTGATCTCCTTGGTTTGGGGGGAGGGATTTTGTCCGAATTTATAAAAAAAAACCCCTCCCCCCGGATAATAAGGTAAACTTCATAACTGGTGGAATTCTCAATTCTATCTTTCCTTGATGTCAATTTAGAGCGAGTGGAACATCTATAGTAAATTCAGACTAAATTCAATCACTTGGCAAGGGGGTTAGGATGTATTTTTAAGTGCATGTTTATTATATTGGTAAAACGGGTTCATATTCTTTTTTGAAAAGTCAGTCGTACTATTCTACTTTAACTAACGATGAACTAGAATTTAGATTTATTTACAGTATTTTGTAAATGAAGTTATCCTTTTATCCCCTATCCAATTGAATTTTCAAAAATTCAGTTTAGGGGGGAGAGATTGCAAAATTAACCATTATAAATGGAAAGTTCTAAGTCCAATTACGTTTTATCAAATTTTCACCCAAATTAATATGACTTTTTAGGTGTGAAAAGAGTTATCGTTTATTATTTTAATTATCGAAAAGCAATTTCATACAAGGATGTTGCATAAGATGCTGAAAGGATTCACGTGGGAAAATGTAAAAACAGAAAAAATAGACTCTTTTTTTTTTTTTTCTGTTGCTTTTCTTCTGTTTAAATAAGTAGTCACCTCACCGCACCTCACCTCACTCTCGGCCAAAAGCCAGATTCAAACTCACACTCACTTCTTCATACAAGTTTTGGTTACAGAGGAGACCGAGTCAGGGACCCAGTTGGTGGGGCAATGATCCTGAAATTACTACAAGCCAAAATGAAATACATTGCATTGCAGTTGTCCTCATCAACAAATCCAACTTGAATTTTCTTGTGGGAACACGTGGAAGTCGAAAATATTTATTTCCCCAGTCACTTGCCTTATTAAATTAATTTCTAAAAATTGAAACAGAGGTGACTGCCGCTCTCTCTCTCTCTCTCTCTCTCTCTCTCTCTCTCTCTCTCTCTCTCTCTCTGTGTGGCCCATAGATGGGGTCATTTTCAAATGTTCAAAGGGACGTGGCGGCTCATATAGCTTGTTATGTGGTTGATATTAATCTAAATTATTTATTATTTATATTAAAATTTATTAATTTTATGTCTGATTCTCATCATAATAACATGTTGTGTCAAAAATTACTATACTTTTATAAAGAAGAAAGTATGGACGAGGTTCGATTCCTTGACATATGCTTAGAAACAAACAAGTCCAGAGCCTAGTGGGACTTGGGATATTCAAATTGGTCTTTTGCTCACATTTACATTTTGATCTCATTTGTAACCGAAACCAAAGCTTAAAAAAGCTTTGTCAACCCATTTCTGTACTCTTTTAAGTGTAAGCGAAATTGGTGAAAAGAATGCACATTAATGTTCTGATTGAAAAATTGAATGATAAAAAGTTAAAAAAATGAAAAATTAAAGGGATAAATAAAACATTACGTTTGGTAAAAAAGGAAAATAAGAATGATGAAAAAGTGGATAGATTAACTTTCTTTCTAACTCATCAAAATCAATCTCATTAAATTCGAAAGGAAAGTGGATAAAAAGTTAATTATTTGTGTTGAGATGTATCTTATTTGTCTATATTTCTTTTGATATATTCATATATTATGTATACATTAATTTCATATAAAAATATAATGATAAAATATGTATATATATATATATATATATATATATATATATATTTAAAAAAATTAAATTAAAAAAAATATTTTTTCCATCTTAACTAAGGGTGAAAATTTTTAATTTAATACGATGACACGACTTAAACTCGACACAAATTTTATGACACGAACTTGATTACAACTCGACATGAACTTGAAAATGACCTGACATATGAACAAAAAATATAAAAAGTTCATATTCAGTTGAACCAGTCAAACTTAAAATTAACACAATCAACCCGTTTATCTAAAAATAAACAATTTTTCTATTTTTTCATTTATATGATAATACGAAACTAACATGTTTAACTAATATTATAGATATAAAATATTAATTATTTGTAACTATTTATTAACTACTGACTTAATTATTATATAAAATATATATTTTTTCTTATTATTATTATATTTATTTAAGTTAATTTTTAGTTTGTAAAAAAAATATTAACATGCATTTAATTAAGTGAAAATAAAATATTAATGTTAAATTTTTTATTTAAAATTTATGTGGGTCAATACAAATACGAACACAAATATGACATAAAAATAAACAGGTCAACTTGCAATTCAACACGACACAATTAATTAAATTAATTAGTGTTAGACACAAACCCGTTATAACTCAACACAAATCTGACACGACCCGACCCGATTATCACCCCTAAATCCTAATTTTAGCCGGCAGAAAAAAAAAATTAGTCATTTTTTTTTTCATCTATCGAACTAAATACAAAACAAAAAAAATATATTATTTCTACTTTCTTTACTTAAAGGATATAAAATATATTCTTTTTACTTTTCATTCTTTCTACTTTCCATCTTTTTTACCGCACAGAACATAAGAAAAATATGCCACCTTTAGGCCTATTTTAACCTTGACCTGTATATGTACATATCACTTTACGATCACAAAATAGAATTCCGCCTTTTTTTAATTTGGAAGATCCCACCAGAGTACCAACTCATTAATTTACCCTTAGAACTATCAGTCATGGTATCTGCTCGTTCTGTTTCTCTTAACCAAGTTTGAGCACCTGCTCGTTGCGTTCATCTTTCGACAGTTGAATAACTGCAGAGTTATTACTGCAGATGAAGGACATGTGTCACCTTTAGACTTCAATATGAACATTGATGGTCATTAAAAAGAAAGAAATTTCATGCTTAGAAAAACCCATGAGAGCATTCTCATTCCACTCATCTTACAACAGTTAATGAAGACAAGAACACCACCACATGCTACGTTCTATCAACATTGACTTTGGATAGTTTCAGTAGTAGTATGCCAGCATCTGGAACTACCTTATTTTCAGTACGAGCACCAAAACAGAACAAAAATGGAAGTGTTCTTGTACTCAGGACATCAAGATGACTTTTTCCCTCTCTCATTGGCATGATTTTTAAAGATAGAAGCACTAACTTTGCATTCCGGAAAAGCTCAGTGACTGTCACCACCACCACCACCACCACCACCACCACCACTTCCACTTCCACTTCCCTGTTTGCGAGCCTCTTCTCGCATTACTGCCTTAACATATATCTCGTAGCAACATCCTGCAACAATCAATATAAGGTTACCAAAAAAAAAAAAGAGCAAAGCCTGACATCTTTGACTTTGTAAAAAGCAATCCCAGAATGCAAGTTTTGGCAATCTAGATTACCTAAAAGATAGTAACAAATTCACAGATGTAGTTCCATATGGCTTACATGACCAAACAGTAAAATAGCACTTTGAAGCGATCCCTCACACAAAGAGTGGGAAGGTTCCATGCCATGAAGGTGCAGACAACCAGGGGAAGCCTCCAAAGATTGTGGATACCACTAGATAGTGACAGAATACATGATAGTGTATAATATCAACAACTTACATGATACTTAGCAGAGCAGAAAGGTTTAAACATTCTTTCAACTGCCATAAATTGAATTTGCAAGATCTCAATGATGTTTACAGTGGGGTTTCTTGTTACTGCTTTAATCAATTTGTGGACGGGATTCATTTGCACACAGCAGAATGATGTTACATATAAGATATGTTACAAATAAAATGCAGGAAAATAAAATTTTTCATGAGATCTATAAAAAACATGAAGTATATGTGCAGTCAAGATAAATCTCATCTCATATTTGCTAAATTTGTATTTGTATAAGTGATTTGTATAACTGTATAATCAAAACTATTCCATATAATTGAGAAGAAATCATAGTTTTACTCAAAAACAAATGAAGATTCATTTATGCAAACTCTAATATAACTTGAAAGTTTTCTATGATTTTGGAATTTTGTTGGACTTCCTTTAACTAAAAGGATATTGATAAACTTTTCTTCTAACCGAATGCCCAAGGCGAATCTTCCTTTCCTTTTCCTTGTAGGAACTCCCACAATAACAAGAAGGAATATATACACAAAATGGAAAATTCCAGAAAATAAATCCTTAATTTGTTCTCTTATTTTTCTTCCTATATACCTGGACAAAAGTTTCAGTTTTTCTCTTTCTTCTACTTGTTCCAAATAAGTACAGGAAAAGAAGAGAAATAACGTAAATTATCAAGCTTTCATCAGCGTAAGCATAATCGAAACACCGGCAAGAGAAAGAGTACAATGAAAATTCTGATTGCTTCTGTTTTACACTTTGCAATAGCACAGAGGTCGAAGGAGGAAAGTAAGGAGTGAACGACAGTGCAGGCATGTGACTTTCATGTGACAAATGAAGCTAAAATGGAGTTGACTGAGATGGGGGATGGTGGGAGAGAGTTTGGGAGTCAAGCGAGAAGGAGAGAGTGAAATTGCTGCCAGGGACAAAGAGGGAGGAACAATTGGCAAGGATGGTTGTGGTGGCGGAGCGGTTTGTGGTAGGAGTGGAATCTCTTGCGATGACAAGAGATCTATGTACAAGAAATTGGGAAGATGATGATGATGAAAACACGGGAAGCCGTGTAGTGGCTAATTGAAGAGCAGTTTTGATTATCATGTTGTTTGTGTATATATGAATATATGTGCGTGAAGAATTAGAAGGAATTTGAATGTAGGGAGAGAGAACACACATGTAAAAGTTGAGGGGAGGGCTTTAAAAAGGTTAAGAGGAAATGAATGGATGCCTATGAAGACTGGGGGTTTTGGTTGTTAGAACACTAGGATACAATAAGTCATGCAGTTAGTACTTAACTATTTTCTTTCTCCCTAATTCTTGGGTAGCCATTTAATTTTAACAATGGTAGTACATTATTCTGGATGCATTGAAAACTAACCAGCAGTGAGAAGGAAAAGGGGCAGATGAATGAGTAACCCCACCTACTGAACAAATAAATGTACAGTAGATAGAATAACATTTATTTTATATTTACTTATATGGATGGTAATGTAGATATTTGAGAGATGTACAGGGCAGAACAACGAATCAAAATCCTTAGGAAGAAACGGACACTTGGCAGTTCATCCATTTCCCTGAGTCAGAAAATTTACCAGTTAAATGAACCTGCACATAAATGCCAGATGGACCAACAAAGGGTTGTGAACTTTCTATGATGCATCAATTTAACTGCTAAGCAAAGATATAATAAGATTCCAAAACAAGGTGTTTTGCTAAGAGCTTAAAATTTTATATAGGAAGAGTGAACATGTGACGAGCAAAAAAACTTGTGAACTTCACCTTAAAAATAGTTAATGACAAGAAAGAATGAAAATTCTAATTCTAAGGATTGTCAAATAACTACTCCAATCTGAAGTAAAGAATCAAAACAAGTTATATAGGGTATCAAAAGCAAAAGCATGGATCAAGTTTTGAATCTGTATATGAGTTTCTTGCAATCTTTTTAGGCAGTTACATTTGCAAAATAAACAGCACATTCAAATTGAGTGAATAGATTAACATACCGGCTACAACAACAATAGTTAGAACATCCCCCAGTCTCTTAAGACGCCACACACCTTTCTTGTGTGATTTGAAGCGCTTTAGCACTGGGTCCTCAGCCAAAAGCTGCAAAATATAATGAGCACAGTCTAAGAAAATTCACAAAAAAGAAAAAAAATGAGAAATCAGATGTTAATAGTGCTGCTCGGGTACAAATCCATGTGCAAAGTGTCGAGCTTCCTCAAAAGTCGAAAGTCTAATACACCATATTACATCATTAAAGATCGATGTAATAGGTAAAACCCTTAGTCTCACATATATGATCTAAAGATGGGTTCTGGACAAAAAAAACCAGAAAAAGAATGGCTACAAAAGCAAATTCATAATCACACTTTCCGCCAGCAAAAGCATAATAATAATATCAATAAGGAACACAAATGTTCTTGCTCCGTTGTAAAAAAGACACTTATTATTAGGAAGCTTTATTGGTCACAGGTTTTGGGAGGACATCATAGACATGTGGAAATGAACTAGTATATAGAAGTTGTAATCACAAGAGGCCTTCAACTGAATAATTGTTTGTGATCGCTTGTAGAAAAGTAAGGATGACCTAGTGTCATGGCAACAAAAGAGTTGCACCGTAGAGAACAGAAAATGGTAAAAGGAAGCTATGAACCTTAATTAAGGATGAGGTCAAGTTAAACTTATGTTGGGAATAATACTAAGAAAAGCAAAAGCTTTGTAAAAGCAAAGACACATTCGAGGGTAATATATGAGCATTGCCAATTGCCAAATTTAATACAAATGAATGTCTGAATCTACGTAACCAATGCATAGAGAAAAGACCACCAAAAAGTCTCAGTTTCCTTTATTTATTTTTTTATAAAAAACCTGGCCCGAAAACCAACGAAAAAGAGTTTCATGAGGATAAGCAAATTCTATTAAACTTCAAAATTATGGATTTTATGAGAATTAAAATAGCAAAGTTGGATTGGAAAATTTGAACCCCGGCCCCAAAAGTCTTTTGCATTAGGCGAAAATTTTGGAATGTTAGGTGATTAGAAATGACACGTTTTGATCAACCAAGCTCGTCAATTACATAGAGAAAACTTGGTTGGTGTCTTTGGCTGGGGGGGGGGGGGAAGTTCGATCAAATCCCACATAAATAGAACGTAAAAATTCGAAGACAAAATCAACTCAAGTAACACCGTAATAGACTTCCCTTTCATGTTCAAGAGGATAATTTCGATCTATTGTGTTTGTTGTCTTGCATTCATATACCTCAGCATGTTCAGTAATCCAATTCAATTGATTACATCTATGGAAAAGAAATGTAATAAGCAAATGGATATAGCCTCATAGAGAGAAGAAAAACACTCACAGCCTTCTCGCGAGCCCCTGGTTCGACATGAAACCCGCGTCTCGATAATGATAGCGAATCATCAGCCTTCTGCGACAGCTCATAGCACAAAATCTATCAGACTTAGATCCAGATCGATGGTTACAGATATATTTTAGAGAGAGAAGTACCTGGGGATGGAGACGAAGCTGAGAGAAGCTCGTTTTGTTGAGTAAGAAAGCCATCGTTGGACAGGGAAAGAAAGTAAAAAAGCTCGCCTGATGATCTGATGTTATTTCTAGGTAAACAAAATGTAATGGGATGGATATATATATTATAATTAGCCCCCCTAAACTATACAAACTCCAGTCCCACACCTAAATAAATGGATAAATTATAATTTAGGCCCCACAACTATACAATATCCTACCCCCACTCATAAATATTGATTGAGTTTATCATTTTTTTTCAATTGATTAAATTGGTTTCACGGTACCCAAAAATCACATTTATTATACTTAGGGCAAAAAAATAATAATTTGTGTCATTAGATCTTAATCTATCGAATTATAACTGTAATTAACAACTACGACAAAAAATTGAAATAAATTGAGAATCCAACTTCTCACTAGTAATATTAACACATTTAAGAGGTCAAAATAAAGGAAAAAATATTTTAGCATGTTTTAACCAATATTTTATATCTATTATACATATAAGACATCTCTTATAAGAAAACTAGCTATTTTCCGTGTCTGAAGATACAGAGTAATAAAAAAAATAGTCAATATATTTGTATTCATATTCAAAATTAAACTACAAACATAGAGGAAAGATAAAAAAATTTAAGCATCGATTGTAGTGGGGGTGAACGGTAGTAGTGGTGGTGGGCGACAGTGGTAATGATGAGAGACAGTGATAGTTGTAGTGGGTAAGGCGATAACCGTGGTGGTGCTAGCAGCCATGGGGTGGTAATGGTGATGATGGTGGTGAGTTTTGAGTGACAATGATGGTAGTGGCAACTGTGGTGGTGGTAGACGACAATAATAGTGGTTAACAGTGATAGTGTGGCAACGATAGGTGCTTTTAGGCGTCAATGTGATGGGTGATTGCGAATGACAGCGATGGTAAGTATGGCGGTAGTAGGTGACTTGCAGTGGTAGGCGATGAAAGGTGGTGGTGGGGTAGGTGATAGTGGCTAGTGGCTAGTGGTGATGGTAGGACAATGGGTGGTGGTGAGTGTTGACGGTGGTAGTGGAATGATGATGGTAATGGTAATAAATATAAAAGTAACATAACGATAATGGTGAGTGGTGGCCATAGACGACGATGGTAACAATCGGTAGTGGGTGACGATGGTGGTGATAGGGCAGTGAAGGTGGGGTGGGGGTGAAAGTGGGGCAGTGACGATGGTGGGGATGGTGGTGGTAGTGGTGGGGTTGGCGATGGTGGTGGTAGTTGTGATAGTCATGGGGGGGTGTTAGCTGTGATAGTCTTAGGGGTGGTGGTGGGGCAGTGGGGGTGGTAGAGGTGATGGTGGGAGAGTAGCGGTGGTGGTAAGGTGCGACAACGGTGGTAATAATGGTAGGGTGCAGTAGCGGCGGTGGAAGTGGTGGTGGTAGTGGGTAGTGATAATGATGGGGTGGTTGTGGTAGTGGTGGGCGGTGGTGGTAGTGGTTATAGTGGTGGTGGGACAATGGAAGTGGTGATGGTGGTGGTGGTGCGTATGGTAGGGTGGCGATAGTGATGGTAGCGGCGACGGTGATGATGGAGCGGTGAGGGTGACGGTGGAGGCGATTCTAAACACTAATTTTTTTTTAAAGTATTTATGAGAAATAATTCGTACAAATACTTTTAAAAAAGTCACTTCAAACACACCCTTAAGGCCTATTTTTTTCATTAAATTTAGAAAGATAATATTAGCCGTTAGATTAACTTTAAAGTAAAATTTAAAGTGATCTTAACCGTGAATAGCAAAAATAATTTTATTCATCTTTTGAGATTTAAAATGTATTATACTTTATTATATAAACTAGTTTTCTCCTGTGTCTAAAGAAATAGAGTAATAAAAAAATGATAATAATAAGCATATTTGTATTCACACCGAAGATTAAATTACAAAAATCGTGGAGGGAGAAAGGAATTTAAGCACCGATTATAATGAAAGTGAGCGGTGGTAATGGTGGTGAAAGAAGGTGATGGGTGATAACGATCGATTGTGAGGATAGCAATCTTGGGTGGCAATGGTGATGGTGGTGGTGGGGTAGTAGGGGGTGGTAGTGGTATGGGTAATGGTGGAACAATAACAATGGTAATAAGGTGATGGTAGTTTTGACGTGGGGGTGGGGGCAGTGGGGGTGGTGGTGGTAGGGTGGCAACAGTGGTGGTGAGGCGATAGAGGTGGTGGTGGTTGTAGGGTGGCGACAGTGGTAGTGGGGTTGTAGTGGCTGTAGTAATGGTGGTGATGGTAGTGGTAGTGGCTATTATGGCAGAGGTGGTGGTGTGGTGGCGACGACGGTAATGGTGGTTGAAATAAGGGTGGTGGTGGTGGTGGTTGTTGGAGTAGTGGTGGTGGTGGTGGTTGATCGATTCTAAACATTATTTTTTATTAAAAAAAAGTACTTATAAGAAATTATAATTTCTAGAAGTATTTTTAAAAAGTTAACCCAAATACATTCTTAGAAACTTTTTTTTCTATTAAATTTGGAGTGTTAATATTAACCATTTGATTAACTTTAAAATAAAATTTAAAAATATCTCAACCACGAAAAACAAAATTCATTTTGTTTATTTTTTGAAATTTGAATTGTATTGTATTTTATTATATAAACTAGTTATTGCATGTGCCTCAAGGCACAAAGTAATAAAAAATGGTAAATAATAAACATAGTTATATTCATATCCAAATCAAATCACAAACATAGAGGGAGAGATAAATGAATTTAAACATCGGTTTGTAGTGGGGGTCAGAGGTGGTGGTAGGAGACGATAATGGTTATGGTGGATGACAATGACCATGGTGGCAGCGACAACGGCGACGATGGTGGTGGTGGCAGCAGTGGTGATGATGATGGTGGTGGTGATGGTGATGGTGATTTTGACAATAGTGGTGGCTGCGATGGCGACAACAGTGGTGGTGGCAGCGACAGTGTTGGTGGTGGCAGTGGTGACGGTGGCGACGGCGAAGGTGATGGTGACGGTGGCGATGGTGGCGGTAAGAAACGGTGAAAATTGTGGTGGCTGACAATGACCGCGATGACGGTGGCGGCGACGGTGGCGATGGTGGTAGCCGCCCCCGCGGTGATGACGATGGTGATGGGGGAGGCAACGGTGGCGATAGTGGCGGCGGAGGTGGCGGCGGTGATGGTGGTAGTGGTGGTAGAGGTAGTGGTGGGACGATTTCAAATATTATTTTTTGTTAAAGTATTTATGAGAAATAATTTTTAAAAATATTTTTAAAAAGTCACTTCAAATATACTCTTAGGGTCCTATTGTCTCTATTAAATTTAGAGTGTTAATATTAGTCGTTAGATTAACTTTAAAGTAAAGTTTAAAGAGATCTGAACAGCGAAAAGTAAAAGTCATTTTATTTATTTTTAAAATTTAAATTATAAATTACTTTATTATATAAATTTTAAAATATTTTAAGATATTTTCTTATATTTTAATCATGAACTCGGCCCGGAATCTATAAGCAACGTGTAAAAGTGGTTACTTAGAAGTCATTTGGATGAAGCTGGTGTTGCCACGTATACAAGTTCATTTAGCCTTCTTCCTCTTTCCATTCATCAGTTCGTTAGAGTGAGTGAATGAACCACAAAACAAAAGAAGTAAACAATGGCGATTAGAGGTGCAGCTTCTTCAATCGGAAGACAAACAAGCACATCATCTCTGCTCTCGATTTCAGGATATCTCCGAACTAGATATCATGGTTCTGCTTCAAACCCTCTTCATAGATCACTTTCATTTCCCCATTCCCAAACAGGTAATTTATCAATTACGTACATTTGTTATGATTCTATTGATTTCTTTTTCTTTCTTGGTTGTATTGAGTCTAATTCAAACTGGGTTTAGTTCTTTGCTGCTTTGTTAAGCTTATGAGAATTAAAATACCATATGTCAAACATAGAATGGAACAAAATTTGTTGGGTTGTTAAGGATTTGAAATTTTAAAATTTGGGTAATTTTTTCATGTTAATGTTTTGTTGGTTGTAGGATTTAAGTATTCGATTCGCGCAATACAAGGGGCAGCAGCAGATCCTGTAGCTCCCAAGAAAGAAGACGAGGAACAATTAACCAAGGAATGGAAGATTAAAATGCTTTACGATGGCGAGTGCCCTCTTTGCATGCGTGAGGTGCAATCTAAGTTACCCACAATTGCATTCTGGGTTTTTATTATTAATGTGTTTTGAGGGGTGAATTCTTCAGTTGTTCTATTAATTTTTTTACTAGGTAACATAGTTTCATATAATTTCATATTGGTGTGATTCTATTGTCAGGTCAATATGCTAAGAGAGAGGAATAAGAGCTATGAAACAATCAAGTTTGTTGATATAAGTTCGGTTCAATACTCTCCGGAGGAGAATCAGGGCCTTGACTATGAAACTGTAATTTTTTTTCACATTTATTAAGGCAGTATCTAATTTTTTTTCTATCTAAATTCTCTTCAACACGCCTATAATATTCAAAACACTGCCACCTAACTTTTAAGACACTCATATTGCCTATTCTTTAGTCATTTATACATGCAATACATGGTAATCTAATACACATTACAATAATTACTTGGGCTTTCCAACCCAAACAAGGTTTAGTAAGTCTCAGTTATAAAATAACATATATGATTTTGAAGTAAAATAGTGGCATTTAATAATGATCTGAAGTTTACAGTACAAAACAACAAAGTTCATAATGTTTTCTTTTTTGCAAACTGTGCACTAGTTTGGGACTACACCTTGTGTGACTTAACATCTGCACCTTAACACCTTATTAACTTCTTGCATCTATTTCCATTGTATGCCTTAATGAATTCATAGCATGAGTAATGATCGAGATTTAAGTCTTTCTTTGACATTTGGCATCTACAACTTTCTTGGGTAAGGCTATACGGAGATATTAATACTACAGAAAAGTGTGATTTTAACTGATAACCGGCTCTCATATTGTCATCAACTCTTCACGAATTGAAGGCCGATTTTCTAATATCAACAGGTGGCATCCTACTATGGACTTCTATAGCATAAGTTCGTGAATCTGGATTTTTGTTGTTGTTATGATTGCTTAAGGTTTCACAAATATATTTTCAATTGTTCAGGTTATGGGAAGAATTCATGCGATCCTATCTGATGGAGCTGTAGTCACAGATGTCGAGGTACACCCCTATAAGATTGTCATAGCCTTAATAATTTCTTCATGTTTTTTATAAGATAAAGAGGCTAAATTTTCAGTTAATCTAAAACTACTTACATAAGATGTGGTGTCTCTATCTTACCCTTATTTTCCTCTGTTGTATGCATGCTGATTCTTGTTAATTTAGCTTCAATGTCCATGCACCTGAATTAACAGACTATTTTGCTGTAAAAGTGAGGCTTGCCACCTTATTAATATTTGTCCTGTCATCTCCACATATCAAAAGTCGAAACTCCAATTTTGCCACTGCACTCTTTGAGCACGATTTTCTTCAAATGATTATTGGTTGAATTTTAAGCAACAATTAAAAGATTTGAAGAAGACTCTTAGTTCAATTTTTTTCAAGCACATGTGTGGTGCTTTCACGTGTTTATGATTTTGGAACAAGTTGAAGTAAGTGAAGTTACATACGACCATACAACTATTCAATTTTGCTGGCATTAATTTATATGCTGATTTTGTGGTGATGCGAAAGGACTAGAGGAAGTGGATAACACGAACATTGACCTTTCATTATTAGATAATTCTGCATCTAGAAAATAATTGAGGAGCCATCTGCAAATTTTTTGTTGTTCCTAAAAGTTGAAGCTGTTATTCTTTTGTTTGGTTTGAAAAGCACACCAAGAAACAACATTTCATTATGAACTTGTGCAGGCATTTAGAAAACTATATGAAGCAGTTGGTCTGGGATGGGTTTATGCCATAACCAAATACAAGCCTGTGAGTGCTCTTATTTACATTTGAGTTCAATTGATTCGTCATCGTCTAGGCAATGTGAACTCATCAGAAAGCTTGTTGGCATCTTCTTATCTGGGAATTGTGCTGAAAATACATTATATTAACAGGTTGCAACAATAGCCGATGTTGTGTATGGTGTTTGGGCTAAATATCGTCTTCAAATAACAGGTGCTCCCTGTTTGCTCAACATGTGTTGATTTTTGTTTTTGTTTTGGCGATACATATGCGATCATCTGCTTAGCATGTGTTTTGGGTACTGCTCTCCTTTCATATTTTCAATTATCGGGCAATAGTTTATAGCTGCTCCATTGCAGGTCATCTGCTAGGTTGAGAGTGAACCGTATCCCAAATTTATTTTATCACACGAGGCCATATACTTTTGCCACTTCCCAACATGTGATGCTGGACATATGTTCATGTGACATACTTCAAATTATGCTTCAGTTAGTTACATCAGAAAATCACAAAAACGTGTACTTCTTCTATGTTATGCAGATGGCTTCTGCTATTTTGTACTAGTTTTCAGCTTTAATAATGACAAGTCAATGATTTTTCTGATTACAGGCCGGCCACCTCTAGAAGAAGTTCTAATGGCACGGAAGAAGAAGGTCTGCAAATGCAATTGCTATAAACTCCGTTATCTTTTCATTCTTGAAGAATTGCTATAATCTCCATTATCTTTTCAGTCTTGAAGTGTCATGAATTGAATAAATGTCATTGTTACTGACTTTTTCTTTAGAAAACTTAATACCCCACGGGGGAGGGAAAAACTCAAACCCGTGTGGCTTGTGTGGGTGAGAGGGTTCCCTTCACTCGTCTATCTCCTATCTATCCCTCCAACTTCCCAACTTTCCATCCTTCCAACTAACAAAAAATTGATGCAACAATCTTCCCTTGCAGTGTGCGACTCCTGTACCCCTGGAACCAAGTCCAATTGTTTCTTTGACTGGAATTTGAAAGTGCAGTTTAGGTGTAATAGAAGGTTTCACTTAATCTTCTTACAGAGCAAGCACTGGAGTGGTGTGGAAAATAAGATGGAGATTGTTCAATAACTTATCCTGTATATAAACTTAATTTTTGAATCTTAAACTCAATATAAGACAACTAAGTAGTAAAGTAAAGAACTAAAGGAAAAAACTTACATTGCTAACTAGTATGGGATAGAAACCGATATCATCTGCAGAGGCTGTCTTCTTCTCAGATCTTTTTCCTGTCCTTGTCATAGAACTAGTTTCAAGACAGCACTCCTATGCATAAGCATTCTAATATAATAATTTTTTGTTGCAAACATTCAGAAGTGTTTAATTATATCACATGAGAAGCCATGCTTAAATGACTCAGATTTTTCCATTTTCTTTTTCCCTTACAGGAGGAACTATGCAATGACAACAAGGCTTGTAAAACATAAGCTGCTCTTCAGTCATTTTGCTGGTTCTGATGAGTAAGGATGATGAAGCTTGGATTATTCTGTAGGCTGTAGGTTATCCACTTGCTTCTTCCATGCTTCGCCAAGCGCTCAAGTCCTTGGCCACAATATGGAAAGCTTGACAGTGCCTCTGTCCATTACTCTTGTTCCCCACAAAATTCAAACTTGTATATTCAACAATACTTTCCCAGATCACAGTGACTTTGCTTGTTTAGAGGGTATAAAAGCTACAAAGATTATACGTTTATATTCCAGCATTCAGTATATCAAATCGTATATGCTCTTTTATTTTGTCTTTCCTTTCAGGGAAAGATTCCTGCTTTGGTTTCCATCAGTTTGATGAAAGACGGACATATAATTCATTGTTTCATGTTCCAACTTTAACTGATACATCCACTTATGTAGGAGAATAAAAGACATTTGACAATCTAATTCCAAAACAAAAATAAACGACACTAGACAATATAACGACAAAATGAAAACAAACATGAAGTCCAGCTAACAGAACTATGCCTCACACATTTATTACTTACACTTTGTGTGGCATCTGAAAAAAGCTCCAATTTGTCCAACCTTCACACAAGCTATATGATTGGGAAGCAGTTGATTGCATTGTACATGTCATATGCTCGAACCATTCTGTACAAGCACATTAGTAGAGTCTCTGCTTTTTAGCAACATTGTTCCTTTTTAAACTGACAAGCTTTCTCGTCTTGAACAACCATCTCAGACCCTTGCATATTATTGCCCATCTGGAAAGCAGCTTGCCACTAGTGACAGCTACAGCATGGACTGCACTCTGTTGATTAGAAACTGATTCCAAACCATGGTTCTTGAGGACAGGTTCAAGATCACAATTCTGAAAAGGCAGCCAGTTTTCTATGTCCCCATCAGAAAAAAGAGGGCCTAGATTGTAGAGGTCGATGTTGGTGTCGTTGCCTGGGACACTCAAAGATGGGTCACATTAGTATGGGTCATATCAGAGTACTTGTAGACGATCTGGGAAGTATGGGTGAAATGATACCTGGAAACGATGTACCAGGTTGTGTAGGCTTATAATGATCATGCATGTCAGAAGTCCCAATGTTGCATACATTGGAACAATCTGGGTTGTTGAAGTATTGGGGGTAAAGACCGTCAAATGAGGGCAAAGAGCGATGGGCAAGAGAAGTATAATGTTTACACGTCTGAGCATGGTTCACAGTGGCCTCCCACCTCTTACCAATCATACTCTTGCCAAGGATCTGTAGAGGTACAAACAAACAATTACTGCCATTACTTCATGTAACCAACGAAAGTGAAATTGCTATTCAAGGCTATAAACAACCAGATGTTGTTCACGTATAAACCAAACTTCAATCACAAATATCATTATATAATAATGTACCTACATAGAAAGCCTGAATTTTACTATAATTTCGGTTTCATTCTGGCCCTTGGTCTGCACCCCTAATTTTTTATGAGCACGGAATCCTTCATACAATTCTATATACCAAGAACAGAATTGCATAGGTGTCTAGCAGGAACATTAGGTGCTCACGTCAGGAACCTCAGAAAATTTGAGTTTAGATGTAAGTATATTAATGCCAACAGAAGGTCAACTACTATACTTTGGGTGCTTTAATTGCAGGACACAGTAGCTTAACAGAAATATGCTCAGTTCTCGCAACTGAAAAAAGCAAATCCGATCATAGTTCACGCCAAAGTCCCTTTTGAATCAATTATCTTAAGTAACAGATTGCAACCTTATCTTTTCTATGTTCTTGACAAAGGAGATGTGCAAAATTATCAAACGGAATTTTGCATCAGAGTCATCATAGTCATATTTGGAAAAAAAGTGGGGTAATGTTAGGGTTGGTTCAAATCTTATCCCCCCAACAACAAAAAAAAAAAAACAAAACAAAACAAAAAAGCCCCAAGAAAGAGATAGAAAAGACGAACAAATTTTGGCATATTCAACCTTTAGAAAGGCAACACGTCTTATAATATTAGAATGTAATGCCTTGACAAACATTATTTTCAGAGTGAAGTGTCAACAAGTTCACATACAATTACTAGTGATCTTAATCTTAGGTAAACATATGAGGAAAGAGCAAATGAATTCTTACTTCTTGTAGCCTTTCATGGTTCAAATCATATTGCGTTAAAAAATCCTTCACAGTTCTGATGTTTTCTTTGCTCAAATGCTTGTGGAAACGACCACCTTTCTGAATATTTTCTAGTCGCCATACTTCATCTGATAGAGATGGGGGGTAATGTTTTTTGTTCACTGCAAACAGCAACCACAAGTTATGTGAGTGTTTCATTCAATTTTTCACTTCGGAAAGTTATTCAGATGACAGTAGTAATGATATAACCTTCTCTGTGTGACTTTCTGTTTGTTGTTTCCTAATCTACGCAAGAAATGTTTTTGAGACAAGATAAACAAATTATGTAAATTTTAGAAAATCAAGCAGATTGTTGCAGTCATTCAGATAAAGTCCCAAATCCAAAAAAATTTCCCCTTCTAAAAAGAAACACACCGTGCATAACATGGAGTTTTAGAAGGGAAACTACCTCAATCAAATATCAACATGTTGCAAGAATATCCATAACTGTGCTAATGAAAGATTCGATGAGTGCTTTCTTTTTCAAACATTTCTCCGGCGTCTGCAAAAGGCTGGTTCCTACTGAAGATTACATAAATGAGTTGGAATGACATCCTAAAAATGATAGTTTTTTTCCATTCAAGAATAAAGCCTTTTTTGCTATGATTTACTCGCATATTATCTGATCCCATCAAATTTCAGTCTGAATTTCAGCATTTTGCTTTGAACGTCAACACTTCTTCCTTGTTCCAAAGTGCCTTCTACACTACGTAAACATAAAACAATCTACAGAACAAATAAAAAGATGAGGAAACTGGCATCCTAGTCAAACTCGATAAATCGGGTTGCAGTCACACTAGAACTTCAACAATCTACAAAACAAATTAAAAGACGAGGAAAATTTATATATAATCTCAAGCAAAAACATTGCAAACTACTTTTAAAGAACATGTATCTAGACAAGAAGTAATTCAATAATTTTAAAGAAAACATATCTACATCTTTTAAACGTTCAAAGGGCATTATAATTCTCAGTTACAATCACTATATGCATGCAGGAAAAAATATTCATTACAACAGTGATACCACATGGTAGCTAATGTGGTATCACCAACTAATAATATCAAAACAAATAAGTAAATGGACCCCACAAAAATTAATAACCAACTGTTCATGTAAGCAAATAAATCCTCACTCTTCTTCCATGTAAACCAATAATTACCCAAATGGGATTCACTTTGTCTATGTGTTTTATTATTGGTCGGTGATACCACATCAGCATTGGTGACATGGTATCACCGTTGCATTGAATATGTTCTCATCCATGCGGTATGTAGCACTAAAACATATGACTGACCGATCATAAGGGTAGCCTGAGACGTGATTAATCATCTCCTTGCGTATTAAATATAGGCTTACCTTGCACTACACCATATATGTTCACAATTTTTTTCCAAAATCACCCTAGTAAATTTGTTTACCCAGATGCAATCAAGAAGCTAGATGGAATTGAATAGGTCAGCTATTGGCAATCACAAGCAAGAAAATAGAAAAATAGTTACTTCCACGGCGATCCTTAACAGTGAAGGGTTCTGTCTTTGCCGCAATTATTCTTCTTCCATTAGAATGATCCACGACTCTTGCCCATAGCCTATATTCACCACTTCTCCTCCAGACGTTAGTATGTCGGAAGTAAATCTTAGGAACTGAACCGATGCCATCTTTCAAATGCAGATATCGTTTTCCACCTAGCAGTGATTTTTTTCCTTCACTTCCACCGACAATTTTACTGTTGAACTCTTCAAGAGTCCAACTTCCCCCTTCATCGACACCAAAATCTCCATCAACCACAACAATTTCCACCTTTGCTGAGGCTTCTGGACCAGATGTAACAACTTCCCCTGTAACAACATCAAGTAAAGCTACCTGTAAGCTGTTCTCTTCTCCTGCAACAGGAATTCCAGTGAACACCCGTGGAGAGATATTGCCCCAGAACTGCAATTTTAGATTCCCTGATTCGGAAGGATGTATCTCATTGCCTGAGTTCCTGAGGAAGAAGAACACGGGAATCTCAGATATAATAGTCAACGGATAAGGAAATTAAACACGATTACCTTTTAAAAACAAAAGGAAAAGAAAAATAATAAAAATTGTATTATTACTCACCACTCTGCAATGGTCAAAATTTTTTCTAGTGCCAATTCATATCTCTTTTTTCCCTGGAAAAAAAACGTAGCACCAATGAGATACTAGTGATACTTGTGAAAAATTAAATCAGACTGCAGCAATCTGCGGAGCCATAAGCCACACAATGGAAATGTGGGTTCTCATCAGTAATACAAAAGTGATCATTGCTGTAACTCATATCTTGAGTGCCAGAAGACTGATATTATCCACTTTAACTCATGGCTTGAAACCCTAACACACACATATGCAAAGAAAAGAAAAGATCAAACGAACAAAAGCAACTCTTGAAACCCATTATCAGAGTAACTTACTAGTTCCAATCTAGTTGGACTCAATCAAGAGTTCTAATCATTCAATAGTAATGACAACTATTGAGAACATAATATGATCTACATCCTTAAAGTAATATCACAAGGGCTCACTCAATGTGCCAGGGGGCGGGGAGACTATCATCAAAGACTCAAAGTAAAGTAGAATAAAATGTAATTAGAGTCATTTTGTCTTCCCAGAAGATGTATGAGATAAAATTTGAACGCCCTGTATAACATAATGGAAAGAGCTTAAATTCATGGGCATCAAGATACCTTTCCCAAACAGCTAAGACAAATTAACAGGCTTCGTTGTAAGGTTAGAAAGACCACCAAATTTGGATACTAGAATGCATTCCAATATTACACATAGCATCCCCCTGTAATTTTTTTCCCACTGCATATCGACTGTACACAAGTGCCCTGTCCTATTTTTGGGAACGATAGGTGGTAATCCACTAAGAAAAGTAAACTAAATATAATACTTTCATCGACCATATTGACACTTTCAAATGCATACAAGCAAACTACTCAGGCTTTTGATGCTCTAGACCCCAAATCACAAATGACAATAGAAGATGAACCATACAGATAGCAAAAGTCAACAGAACAAACTACATCTAAACTGTCGAATAAAATTGATTCAAAACAATCTGCAATAATGAAGAAAAACATCCACCGATAAATTGATCATCTCATTATTATTCCTGTTGAAGGCTATTCAACCTTGGAACCATGGCCACATCAATGGCTATTCACTCTGAAGCCTTTATCTTAACAACAATCTACACCATCATGACCATTCCTGCACACCGTCAATCATCCAAATATCCCGCTGAGAAAATCAAATCCCAATAAAGAGAAAACGGACTCTTCTTAATTTGAAAAAAAAAAGAGCTAATTATCTTTATAATAACAATAATTGCTCGAATTTATTGTTGTCATTGATGTAAATTTAAGTGAAGCAATTCAACAGTAAATTGTAGATGGTGACCTGTGAGTGGAAGGAAGACCTACGTGTAGATTTTAGCAAGTATGCCAGAGAGAGAGAGCGAGAGAGAGAGAGAATGAATGAATGATCTAAAAGTAATTTAAGTGCAATAAACCATTCAGAACAGAACACGAGTATTCATATAGATGACCATAGGGTGCAATACAAGATCGTTTCCAACTGTTCGGAACAGTTACCGACCACTGGTAACAGCCAACAGAACAATCTCGATTCTTCTCTCTATCTCTTCTATCCCACCCATAGGCATTAGGCCCATGGGAAACCCTAAATCACCCATCAAAGCCATGTTTGAATACTAACAGAAACGTATTAAAAGTCTAAAACCGAAAATTCCTCTGAGATGTACATCCAATGATAGTGATACACACATTCTCATAGACATAACATCACCAATATGCATTTAGACATACACAATTACGTAAACCCATATGCATTTTCACCCAAAACACACACACAAGTTACCGTACCGAAAGCTGCCCAATTGGTTCTATAAAACGCAGGAGCTTCTGCCTCGCCATCACCTCCATAACCACCCTGAGAAACCTAGAACACGAACACACACACACACACACACAAAATCAATACCCAGAAACAATTAAGCCCTCACAAGTCCTCCACGCTTCCAACAACAATTACCATTCAATAAATTAGCAAAACCCAGTTCAGTAAAACGATTTAGTTGTCAGAATACGAGTAATGCTAGGATTTCAAATGTGGGATTTCAAATTGTATCCCAAATCAATATTGACCGTTGGATTACTCGTCCGTTAACTCTTTTGCAACGAGACCCCCTCATCCGAGGTCCTATTCGTGGAATCCTTTTTTTCTTTTTTTTTTTTTTCCGATGAAAAACGATAGATATTGTCATTAATTCACAGAAGAGGTTATTAGATTCAAGCACCAAAAATTCAGGGGAACTGTCTCCTCAAGTAACATTTCAACATTATTAATACAACTCATTTCTAGACAGACGAATCTATGAGAACGAAATCCGAGAAAAATACATAGAATATTCCTAAATTAAATCAACAAAAGGCCAACGTCTGAGAGATTCTTTTGTGTTTGATTAATAGCTTCAATGATATTTATTGAGTCACTTCTACATTAACATTAGAACATCACATCTCTAATGCAACACCAATTGTTTTAGAATTTTATTTCTTATTTTTTAATTTCTTAGAATTTAAAATTTTTTGAAAAAATTTTATTCGCACCCCTTCTAAATTACCATTTCTTCAAAAACATTTCATCTATTATCAAAAACATCACTTATACCTCTTTTAATTTATAGTTAAATATTATTGACACCTCCTGTTATTAAACTACTATTTATAACACAAATAAATTATTTAAAATACCAAAGTTACCCTTATATAAAACTCCAAACAATCATTCTACATAAAATTTGAGTTAATTAAACAAAAAATTTACATATTAAAATTTGAGTTGATTAAATTTTTGTTTACATTAAAATTTGAGTCGATTAAATTTTATTTTTTTTACGTATTAAAATTTGAGTCAATTTAAACTCTACTTGAACTATTAACCCTGATTAAAATTCACTTCGAGTCAATTAATATTTATAATATTTTATTTATTAAAATTTAATTCAAGTTAATTAAAATTTATTTTTTACATAATAAAATTTAAGTCAATTAAAATTTTTATTCTTTTATATATCAAAATTCGAACCTATTAAAATTTAATTCGAGTTGATAAAAATTTGATTTGAGTTTTGAATAGAATTTTAATTTGTTCAAATTTTAATACGTAAAAAAATATAATTTTTAATTTACTCAAATTTTAATACATAAAAAATAAATTTTAACTAGTTCAAATCAAATTTTACCCAGCCTGAATTTTAATTTGTATAAAATTTTTTAAAAAATAGAGAAGCTCTCATTAAAGATATATTTATTTAGAAGGGGTTTGGATGAAGTTTTTCTTAAAATATATCATGAGTAATTTAATAAAATTGTATTCTAATTAACACTTTTAATTTGACAGAGATGTTAAGAAAGATTCAAAAAATAGAAGAAATGTTCTTATTGATATGATAAATTAGAAAAAGTGTGATTGAAATTTTCCAAAATTTTTGAATTCAAAATTTAAGACACCCTGTAATCAGACTTGACATATTTCATTGGTGACTAGCCATTAACTCATCAATAACTAACTATTATTTATTCAGTTAAAAAAAACTATTATTTATTAAAATTTATCCAAAAAAATTACTTTTTATCATCCAAAAAAAATATATAATTATTTATTTAATTTCTCGAGTGATAAAAAAATTTAAAAAAAAACACACGAATTATAATCCGGATTCCGGTGGGCTACTAGTATATACATACAACAGTGTGTGTGTGTGTGTTTATGCAGATATTCTGAAAGGAGGAATGGAAAGAGTTTTCACCTTGGTAAAGCGGGAACTTTTCTTTGCTCATCGTCTGAACTCTTTTCCGCTGCGGATGGTTCGGAAGTATAACCAACGTAGCTATCTACGAATGGTAGATTCCGTGACATGCCTCTATCAGGAGTTCAGGAGTGGGGGTTAATCCGTTGGTGTTGGAGTTCGGTCCTGTCTTTTGTTTTTCTAAGTGGAGTATCAAAAGTACCTATAATAGTAGTATATTTGTACTTGCTCTTTTCTAGACGGTAAGAACCGCAATTGAAGAGAGGCTTCGTCTCTTGACTCTTGGGTCTTGGCGGCCAGTGGGGTCCTCACAAACACGTGTGCCAAACGCGTCCAAAGCCGAGTGATTCACACGCCAAGACAACTACACATGCCAACACAAACCAAGGATTGACAACCTCTCTTACAATATGTTTGATACAGGTAGAAATAAAGAATAGAATTGAATAATTAATTTTTATCTGATACATAAAATGGTGCTAATAAGAATATTATTTTATTTTATTTTTGAATAATAAATTTAGATCAAAGTTAGAATAATATATATAAATGAAAAAATTTTAGTCACTCTCTTTCTAATTTACTATATCTTTAAAGATATCTCCTCTATTAGACCTGACAATCGTGTCGAGTAAAACAGTTTCGTGTCGAGTGGAACGGATTTGTATCAAAAAACTCTTCATGCATATCCCATTCGTTTATATAAATGAGTTCAACTATCACACATATACATGAATCGTTTATTAGATGTGTTATCCGATACAACTCATGTGTCACCCATTAAATAAGAGAATATGTTAGAGTATTTCGAGTTCACACGAAAAATCATCAACACTAATGATGCACAAATTGGTTGTTATGCAAAATCAATAGTCAAGTGTATGAACGGGTGGAGTTAATGAGCAATAAATAAAACAATCAATAATAAAGCTGTAAATAAGGAGCCAACACAGAAAATTATAGTGGTTCGGTCCGGGTGACCTACTCTACTCTCGAGAATGGCAGTGGTGGCATGAGTCTTTTATTAATGAATAAAGTCGCCAGAGAGCATTTTTCAGGGGTATTACAATGCCTTTAAGAGAGAGAGACTAATGAGTGTGGGATGGTGTAGTGTGTGTAGGGATCTCAAGACTATGAGAGCATGTCCTCTATATGTAGAGGACTTTCATTATATAGACATACCAAGGCTGTGAGGGGGTGACGTAAGGAAGGAGTCTTTCACTATCTTGGTAAGTATAACCTTAATAGGAATAGATCTTCGCATCCCGATATTCTCTCGCTCGTGTCCCTATTCTATCAGAAAATGATCTTGATCTCGGTTGATCCTGATCTTGAGATTGGACTTAGAGTGGTGTGGACTTGAATTTGCATTGGAGTAGAGAAGAGGGACATGAAGGCAAGCCATGGCGGCGCCCTCTTAAAGAGCACCTGGGTGGCGCCCCCTTGGGCGGCGCCCACTTAGGCAACGCCCCCCTTTAGGGATACTTGACGCCTCTTGGTTCCTTTGGTGCTTTGGACTCCTTCCTGATAGGTTGACCCAACTTCGATTTGGGCTTTCCTTTGGACTTTCTCTATTTATATTTATTGGGCTTGACCCAGTCAATTTTGGGCTCATCATTTGCCCCTTATGCCTCAAGCTTCTGACTTTTGTGAAAGGAAGGAGTTGTGGGCATGTGCTTCGTCTTCATCGGAGTAAGTTGAATTTTTTTTTTGCATTTCCTTGTCTTTAGGACTTCACTTTATTCATCGGTATCGAAAATTTTTATTTTTATTTTTTGGGCCTGGGCGCTAGCCTCTTTTCTCTCTCCTTTTTTTTTTTCTTTGGCTTGGGCCTCCCTGGGTGCTGAGTCTGCTGACTCCTTTCTTTTTTTTTTTTTCTTTTTTTCTTTCCTCTCCTTGCTTGGGCGCCGCCCTTTGCTTCTTCCTTTTTTTTTTTTTTCTTTTTTCCTTTGGTTTTGGTGTGAGCGCCGTCCTTTGCTTCTTTCTTCTTTTTCTTTTTTCTTCTTTTCCTTTGGCTTTTGGTCTGGGCATCGCCCTCTTGGACGCTGGCCCTTCTCACCTCTTCTCTTTCTCTTTTTTTTTTGGCTTCCTTCCAAGCTTCTCTGAGAAACTACTTAGTCTAGCTTCTTCAAGAAGCTGTTCAACAAGCTTCTTTAAGAAGCTTTAGCAAGACTTCTTCAAGAAACCACTTCTTCTTCAATTTAAAGGGTCCTTTAATTCTTCACTGTTCATTTCCTTCTTTCATTCCGTACTCCTGCTTCTCTTTTTCTTTCTCCTTTATTGTTCAAATCAAGACCATGGAGACAAGGGGGCTGAAGAGTCGCAGAGGAGAGGAGCCAAGAGGAGGCGCCCAAGGGGCTGCCAAGGGTGATGGGGCACTGGGTCTTGGCGAGGAGCAGCGGGTTGACGTAGCAAAGGTCCTTGTGGGCGGCGCCAGGGGCTTGGGCGACTCCCTTTTGGGCTTTGGTTCCTCCGGTCCTTCTCCCAATGGTGGTTTGGGAGCGATCTCGGTAGCTGGTGAGAGACCCTTTGGGACTGTTAGCGCGAGATTAGGTACAGGCGAAAAGGCTCCAAACAATCCTTTCTGTAAAGTGGGAGTGACCCGAGGTGTCAAAGGATAGCAAAGAGGGTCATTAAGAGAGTCAAACGACACTTTAGGCACCTCAGACAGCATCCATGGTGCACAGGGTGGCGTCCCAGGCTCCCCAGTTGGCGAGTCAGGCATGGTGCAATACACTCTTCGTGAGCACAGGAAGTGGTCGATCATCGATTTGGATGATATGAGCTCTCAAGGTATGTTCCCAGTATTCTTTTTACTCTTCTATTCACACCGTTACTTTCTTTAACAATGGGCTAAACCTACTTTTTGT